GCTTTAGTACATCTTTGGTACCCATGTAGTTAGAAATTATCTTTGAAAAATTCAAAGAAATCATTTGGATTATGTCAGCTTGATGGGGGACATGAAGGCGGATTGGATCTTAGAGTGCTTGGATATATACATACACACACATATGTATATATATAGGGGCTTTTTTATCATTTAAGATTACAGATGTTTTGTATTAAAAAATTGAGGATAAAATGATCAATATATTAAAAAATTAAGGATAAAATGATCAATTTGCATATATTAGTGGCCAAAATGATGTAAGTAAGAGTTAAAATCAAAATCTTTATTTACCTAAAAAATAACCTAATCTCAAGAGGTCCGAAAGTAATTTACCCTTGTTTTTTCCTGTGTGTTGGTGCCCATTTTTCTCTTCCATTGCTCTCCTACTTGCCGATGAGAGGCTTCCTTTTTATAAATTGGGTCCCATCCTCCTTGAGGTGGGCCACTAAATGGGAAGGTTGACCAAGACAAAATCTTTTTAAAGCAGGCCGCAATGTTAATTGGGCTTGGGGTATAAATACATTTATGGGCTCCAGTCCAGTGACTTTAAACACATGGTAGAAGAAAAATATCTTTGTAAAAATATTTAGAGGAGTATATACTATATACATCATCAGAATTGCCCTTGTTGTGAATCCAGCAAGGACCAATTATTTTTATTTTTTGATTAGTGCTTGAATACATACATACACACACACATTTCATAAATTATCCACAGCAAGTTTAAACCCCTCACCTCCTTTTAACCCCTTATATCCTCTTTGATTGGCTCCGGCCTAACCCTTGCTCCAACATACCATATATAAGTATATATTTTTGTTATATGCATATACTTATATGGTAATTTTAAATAGTGTCTTCCCTAAAATTTTTAAATTGCTCTAATTTTCTTTTGAAAAAAAAGAGTTACATATATCCCCCTTCTTTAAGTACACCATATATTTTTCCTTTTTCCTTTTTAAAAAAAATTCTTTTTTCACTTATATATAATTATGTATTGTACCATTTTTTCCTCTTCTTTCTTTTTTTGGATGACATTTATGATTGTATTTAATTAAAATATTATCAATCAATATTTTGATTCTTATATTTGTCAACTATATTTTTTTATACAGTACTTATTTAGCATATTATTTTACAACTATTTTTTTTTTTCTTGTTTGCCTTTTGATTTTAAAAAATTATATTTGTCATACTTGTTGATTTTTTTTTTTTTTTTTTTTCAATAAGTGCATTGTACCCCGTGAAATAAAATCCGCCCTGGTTGGGGGAATGATTGAGGAGGGATGGATGAGAATGATAAAAAATAAAAAAAAATAAAAAATTGTGTTTGGTTGGAGGGAAGGAAAAATATGAAGGAAGCAAGAAGAGATGCGTTATCTCTCATTCCTTTGTAATTTTTCATCAGCCCCAAATTAAGAAATTAGGAGAGAGAAAACATGATAACAACCAACACGTTTTAAATTTTCATTTTTAACATCCTTGTTGCATAATTTGGAACGGAGATATAAATTTTACAATTTATATAATTAGAATATTTTAGTAAAAATAAAATCTTTTTCCCTTCCTTCAAATTAAAAACAAAATGTGTCACCACATTCATCATTAGACAATACTTGGGTCCTAAACAAATTTCATCCTCCAAACTAAGGTGGTCCAGTGAAACTTGAACACCAGCTAAAAAATTTTAAAAATTAAAGTTGGATCATACCCATCTTTTACAAGTAATCTGAAAGATCGATGTGAGCGAATTCATCATCTCCGATCCTCACGTTTGATAATGAAGGATCAATGAGTGAGATTAATGAATTAATGGAATCTGTTGCAAGTTTGAATTTTTTCACCTTGGGTCTGGCGGAGTCCCGTCGGACATAAGAATGGAGATCATGTAATGGTGTTCAAACATTTTTATGTAGGACAAAATTCTGAATAGTTCGATAAATTTGTTTTGAATAAACCAATACTATTTTTTGGTAATTTATTATGAGTCCTGTTAAAATAAATAATTTATTCAATAAAAATAACATTCAATTGATGGCTCCATCACCGTCACTGCCACCACTGCCACCGCTATCCATGTAAGCATCATCCCTCGCCTCACCACCGCAGTCACAGTCCCTAAGTTTCAAATATCTCTCGTATTTATTTATGAATATACGTGTTTATGTATATTCATCCATAGAAGTTAATTTTTACACTTATTACATTCAAATCTCTCCCTCAGGGTGAGTGGGCAAAACTACTCTAATTATTAGAGTATCGGAGATTCTTTGAATTTCAAACCCTAACTTAAAGTTTAAGGTTTATTTACTCTAATGTGCACGTATTAATTATGTAAGGACAATAATAATTTTACTCGAAAACTAAAGAAACAAAATCATGGATGGTCATCTTCTCCCCTCTAAATTCACCTTCCCCACTCTCTCTCTCTACTTTCTCTCTCATAACACATTGAAGATGAAGGAGTTCTAGACCACAATGGAGATTTGGAGAAGAAGAAGAGTGAGAAGGGAAGAAGAGAGAGAAGCGGAAGAGAGAGAAGGGATGAAGAGAGAGAAGCGATCCCTATTTCTCGGATTAACATGAAAGATGGGTACTCTAATTATTTCCTAAAATTTAGACAAGTGTTTATATTTTAGTGGACACCTGAGAATGACGTTTGTCCAGGACCAAAGTATTGTTCTATTATCGATTCTATCTAGGGATGGCAACGGGGCGGGTTTGGAGCGGGTTTCCCTAAATCCCGCCCCGCCCCTTTTACTTTTTGGCAAGTCCATACCCGCCCCGAGACCCGCGACGGGTTAGATTTTCATGTCCAGCCCCACCCCGTTAAGAAATACTGTGCCCTCGTGCCCGCCCCGCTAACAAATTTTTTTCTCCCACTTTTTCGAACTTAAACTCCTGCTATTTAAATATGCAAAGCCTAGGAATGGCACAACATAAATAAATTATGTATCCCAACAAAAATAAAAAAATAACATGCACATAACATAATTCAGAAAACATAATAAACAAAAATAAAAGTTTAATACAACCAAATCACAAGAAGTTCTAAGCTCTAACTTCCACCATAACCAAAATAAAAGCAAATTTAATACCAAGTTCACATCCCAAATTAGGATTATAAGAGATGGGTAATTGGGTAAGCCACTAAAATAACTTATTAATATATATATATATATATATATATATATATATATATATATTAAATATAGTTATATGCGGGGCGGGGCGGGGCGGGGCGGGGTGGGGCCCTTAGGATATGTATATTGAACCCTTACCCGCCCCGTGACTCTCGACGGATACAAAATTTGTATCCATATCCGCCCCAACGGTATAAAAAGTGTTCGCATATCCGTTATTAACGGGGCGGGACGGGGCGGTAAAAATTGACATCCCTAATTCTATCAAACTAGATATAAAATAAATGAGACATCTTCCTTTCGTAAGGAATGTCTTATTCATTCATTTTCCTCTCATTGTTATTCAATTCCCAATCCTCCAGCCAAACGGAAAATTAAATAAGTATTGTTTAACAAATTGATAAGAATAGTATTCTTCAATTAATTATTTTATTAATTACCAGATAACAACAACCAACCGAAATTTATATCAACTTTCTTTCTTATTTATCAAGATGCAAATTGGTAATTTCAAATTTATCATTTAACTCAGCTTCACTCCACTAATTTCAATTTCAACAACCTTTACATTTACCCATCACGTCCTACCCTTTCCGGGGTGGGAAAGACCGTCCCTCCCATGGTCCCATTTGCGTCCACCGTTAGTTAAGGGTGGTCCTTGCTGATTTACACACACTCGTTCCATCTAAGTACATATTTTTGTTATATACATAGATTTATATGGTAATTTTAAATAATATATCTCCTAAATTCTACTAATTTTCTTTTAAAAAAAAAAAAAAAAAGTTACATATATCCCCCTTCTTCAAGTACACCATATATTTTTTCTTTTTAATTTTTGTTTTCTTTTTCAAAAAAAATTATTTTTTCACTTATGTATAATTATGTATTTTTTCTAATTATTTCTTTTTATCGATGAGATTTGTGATTGTATTTAATTAAAATAATAATATTTTGATTCTTATATTTTTCACTATATTATCAATGGGCTAATGGCCTAGCGGTATCAGCCTTTTCTCTTCCAAAGGGAGGTCAGGTACCAACTAAGAAAAAAAATTATTTGTCACTATAACATATTATTTTACAACTCTTTTTTTTCTTTTTGTCTTTTGATTTTAAAAATATATATATATTTGTCATATTTATTGTTTTTTTTTTTTCAACAAGTGTATTGTGCCCCTTTGAAATAAAATTTCGTTTATGTCCACCATAACATATACAATATGTTGGTGACATTTAATTAATGCCCTAAAATTGGAATAAGAAAGATTAATCTAGGATTTAAATTAATTAATCTCAATTTCGATTTCAAAGATTTTAATGGTTTCATCCAAATAGATTAGACAAACGACGACCCTAACCAATCACCATACGTGGGACAATAGCGACAGTAATAACAGGTCACCGTAGTACAGCTCATATATATAAATATGTATTTTAAATATTCTAAACAAACAAGGAACGCTAGGTTAGCTGTCGTTTTCATTCGGCCCTTCCACGCATCGCTAGGCACCGTGGGATCAACCTTCCGATCTGTTACTTTTAACAGTTGAAAGTAGGTGTTCGCACACAAATTACGCCACCGACAACTACTTTACCAACACCAATACCCGCCAGAAGTAGTTACCTTCCGCAACGAAAATACACAATAACGTAACCCTCCTAAAATCAGAACAATCCCGCTTTGTTTGCTGGTACACTATGCTTCAAATATGATACATGGACTTTTTGGTTATAAAATTATTTTACGGGGCTTTTTTGTAATAATTCGGTAGTTGTGCTGTCTCCAACGGTTGAAGCATCTTAATCGTCGTTGGTAACTCTCTCTCTCACTAACTTTTATCATTAAGTTCGTCCGCTTCCTGAATACTCGAGAGTTTCTGTATATGTAGAGAGAGAAACTGGAGCTAGAGAGAGAGCAGAGAATCACTGAGATCTAGATCTGTGTGAAACTTCATTCCAATGGCTTCGAAACTGTTGCTGAGTATAATCTTCGTCTTTGATCTCATTGCTTTTGGCTTAGCTGTTGCCGCCGAGCAGAGAAGAAGCACTGTGAGTATTCTTTCTCATCCCTTCCCTCTCAACTGTTAACTAATTTGTGTTTATTTATCTCCTCGCATATACACAGAATGTGTTTCTGATTGATGTATATAAGTCATTATTGGATAGAAGTATCAATTTTAGTAAGGATTGGTCTAGTATAGAGGGAATCGTTGAAATTTGCTGCTTGAGATCGATCCTTTTTTTCTTACCGGAAACATAATGCTCTGTTTGGTTCTTGGGAATCTGTAGGGAAGAAAATGAAATTTTGAGAATTACTAACATTTTTATCTAATTGAACATAACTTCTTTCACTAATATGTGTGTATTTATAGCCACACATATCCACAAATTTTGTCTGTTTCTGATTGATATATATAGGTGATAGGTCAGTATTGGATAGAAGTATCAATTTTAGTAAGGATTGATCTAGTATAGAGGAAATCATTGAGACTAGCTGCTTCAGATCGAACTGTTTGTCTTACCGAAACATAATGCTCTGTTTGGTTCCTGGGAATCTGTAGGGAAGAAAGTGAAAATTTGAGAATTACAAACATTTTTATCTAATTGATCATAAGGGAGCAAAACTATCCGCTCACTTGAGCTTAATTATGTTTGTAGTCCACCATAATATGGAACATAATTTTCAATTTTTTCTCCTTTTTCTTCAGCTTTCCTGGCAACCAATCAAAGAATAAGCCTAAAAAATTTGCTTGTTTGTCATGGAAGTATTGGATCTATTACTATACTCTTCCAGTAAGACAAATTATACATATCTTACAATGTATCAAAGAACTAATCTTTATTTGTGGTAAGCGCCACACAAAATACACACTTACTGAAGAAACCTGTTGATGGATATGATTACCAACATAGAATAATAATTTGAAGTGGAGCAATGGTCTTCAAGCTAAAAGTTTTAACCAACTAAACAATGCGGAAAGACCAGTAGATTTATTCATGTGGAGTCCACATGATGCCATCTCCTCAATGTCCATTGGTAACTTTTTATTGGCATTGTTTAGTTGGCTAAGTTTTTCTTTTTGAAAAGAGTTTTCCTTTGGAGTATTGTTGGTAAATTACCTAGTTCTCAAAGAATTTAGTGGTTAATTGCCACAAAATTGGTAAGATCCAGAGAAGGAATGGGAATTTGCTTTAATTCATCATATTATACTCAGAACTTCTCCAGAGATCTATATGGCCGGCAGTAATATTTATAGACTTCTTTAGCAGGCAATGAAGCTCTATATTTCTATTTTACTAACAATGGTATATGACACAATCCAGAGGTACACTTTCTTAGAACAAATACTTTGATTTGGAACTTTATTCTCGGATTTGTTTATGAAGAAATTGAAAGGAAAGAAAATAAAATGTTGGTTTTTATGTTGAATGCCATACAAATGAAAAACTCCCCTTTACTAAGCCAAATAGTTTCATTAGGCTTCAATGTGTTCTTGTATGCTAAACTGATTATTTAAGATCCGAATATAATCCGTTGCCTTATCTTATCTTATCTTACCTATTTTAAGCAACCAAACAGAGCATGAGATTTTAATTTTATTTTAAATTTCTCAAACTGATTTGGAAGAGAGAAGAGTAAGCTTTCCCAGTATGGAGGTTGTGTTTGATGCGTGGTATTGGTTTTGATTCAAGATTCTTAATTTGTAGAGAAATTTTTCACTTTGGAGCTTATCCTCTGATTGGTTGCTGAGAAATTTGAGAAGGAAAGAAAATGAAATTTTGGAGTTAATGTTTGATGCAATTCAAATGGAAGACTCCCCTTTAATAAGCCAAATAATTTTTTTGAGCTTCAACGTGTTCTTATATCCTAAATGACTGATTATTTAAGATCCAAATGTAATCCCCCATGGGCCATTGTCTTATTTTATCTATTTTTAGTAACCAAGCATAGCATGAGGTTTCAATGTTTCTTTTGAGGATGTCAATTTGGAGGAGAAAATGAGAGGGAGTAGTTCTCCCAGTAGAAAGGTTGTGTAACTTGTGTTTGGATGCATGGAATTGGTTTTTATTTTGAATTCCTTCTCTGTAAAATTGCAGAATCTTGTCTTCAGAATTGCTATTGTTTGTCTGCAGAATCCATTTTAGAATCCATTGGTATGCAAAGGAACAAAATAATGCGACTTTAACTTGCAGCACCTGTTCAAACACTAGGGCTGCATGGTCGTGGATGCAATATTGTCCACACATTATATATTATAATCCTGTGTTCCTTATAAAGTACTGAATAATGTCTTCATGTACAGGCCACGGTTAAGCAAGACAATGAAAAGGATTATAACTATTGCGTCTATGACTCAGACATCTCGACTGGTTATGGTGTTGGTGCATTTTTGTTCCTCATGGCTAGTCAAGTCCTTATAATGGCGGCAAGTCGATGCTTCTGCTGTGGGAAGCCTTTGAACCCTGGAGGTTCAAGGGCTTGTGCAATCCTTCTTTTCATAATCTGCTGGTACATTCTCATACTATGAGTTCCATTATATTGTGTGTATTGTCATAAATAGAACTCGAAAGATTAAAAAAATTGAATATCACACTCCATGATTGAAATTACCACACCCATAATCGAATGACGTGTTATTTACACTATATTCAAATTTGCAATTTTGAATTTCAGGGTGACTTTCTTCATTGCCGAAGTGTGCTTGCTTGCCGGTTCTGTGAGGAATGCCTACCACACCAAGTATAGGACCATATTCAATGAAGAACCACCCTCTTGCGAGACTGTGAGAAAGGGAGTGTTTGCAGCGGGGGCATCATTCGTATTCTTCACTCTCATAGTCTCAGAGTTCTACTACATTTGCTACTCAAAGGCCAGGGGAAGCTTCCAACCATATGGCGGAGCCGGAGAAGCTGGCGTGGGCATGGTGGGAACCTACAAATGAGCATAGTTTAGGTGGCCATGACTATCACATTGTCATATTCTGTTACTGCCTGGACTCTCTACATCAATTCGATTGCTTCATTGCCTGTTTGCATCAGATTTCACGTTTTAGGAGTTCATTCTAGTTTGAGACAGCTTGTATTCAATTACATGTCCATAAATTTTGATGTGTTCATGCTACTATGAATTTTTTTCGTTGTATGGTGTTTATGAATATCAATAATAGGGAGGCTGTTGTTTGTGTTTCTTTACAATGTATGGTTTATCGATAATAGGAGGAGGAGGCTGGTGTTTGTGTTTCTTTACAATGTATGGAATCATTAGAACTAAATTGGTCAAAATTACCAGTCAACAACCGTTCATGAAATTGATTGAAATTTTTTTTCCAAAGACCCAAAAACCTGAATAATCCAAATTATCCAAATTATGAATAAACTTGTGCTCAGATGGGAAGGGGCTGCGCGAATGCTAGCCCCATTATCACAGATTATGACGTAAACTCCACCACTTAGGCAGGCCTTAAGCGGGTACCCCTCCAAAGTGCAAAAGAGGTCGCCAACCTAGGCCATGGGCCTTTTTGATCGCCCATGGACCCCATCCAGGTAAGTAAGTTCCCATTAAGGCTTTCAATGCCTTTTATAACCCTCTCTCACCTAATTCACTCGGTCTTCTTTTCAACGTGGGACAGAAACATTTGTACAACTACACCCTAACCTTCCTGAGATTCAAAGAGGAGTTGTGTAATCATCAGCGTGGAAACAAAAAGTTCCAAGGAGGATTGGTTGGTTGTTGTCCAAGCATGTGGTTTCTTTTAAACTAGATAATCTCCTCTTCTTCGTGTTCGAAAGAAAAAATAAAATCCATAACTTTTCCTGGATTTGCCATACTCGGGATTAGGTGATTTTGAAGGCCCTGAACAATTTGAGAAATAAGTCAACAGTTGAAACACATGAAACCATTTGAATCCATTAATTTCAGCGTCTCCTTTCTACAACTTAAATACACATGGTTACTTTATAGAAAAAAATCAGTATGATATAATAATTTTGATGTTAGTGTATATTGAGGATTCTTTCTATGGGAGAAAGTAAAGAACTCGTAAGTTCACAACTAAATCTTCTATTAGTGGCTCTTTGTAAGAGTTGGGCGCTCTACCAATGCCCATACTAAATTTTCCTTTGGCTTACAAAGGAAGTGTTCTTAGAAATGGAAAATATGACGATTTGCAGACTTCCCAGCAATCCGGATTTGCGAGTATTGATCTAATTTAGCCGAGGATGTGCTGACTCTCTCTACTTGCTAAAATTGAACTAATTTAGCTTTTTGTTGGAACTATTGTTACACTGAAGAGGCCAGAAGTGATATAGGCCGGATATAACCCACGAACATGGCATTCGGTCCGAGCAGTTGGGTCCAGCCCATAAAGAAATACTGCCATATGGGCCGAACGCGAATAGCCCATCGAAGATGACCAAAGCCCACAGAGGAACGGGCCCAGATCTAGCAACCCATTAATGTTTGTAAATACCCATAAATATGAGAAGTAATGGGGAGAGAGATTCATTCTGTTGAAGTGTAAGAATTCTAGAGAGAGAAAATGGAAATGAATTCCTTGCATCTTCAATTGGCGCCGTCTGTGGGAATCGTTGAAGATTAATTGATCATTGATCAATATAGCGTGGATTCAGACCAATTCGTGAAGACGAAACTCGATCTTTGGGAGTTGGATCCAGATCTGAGAGATTGTGACCTATTCTGGAGGAATTTTAGTTCTGTTGCTTTGACGGAAGTGGCTTCAGATCTACGCAACAACGAGTTGTTCGATTGCGGCCGGATCTGACGGATTTAGAATTCGGAGAATTCAGATCTCGTCAACCGTAAGCATAACTCGGAGAATTCGAGTCCAGATCTGAAAAATTCGCGCTCACGAAGCTCAGATCTACTCAAGAACTTGAGATTAATGCCTTTACTCCGTTCAGGAATAATGATAGGTGAAAGCTCCAATCCGATGGAGGCTGTCCAGCAAACGAAGCTTGAGGAGTTGATGAACTTGATCGAAGCTCTCAAAAGAGAGAATGCAGAATTGAAAGCTGGAATGCAGCATCAGCAAATGCCGGCGGTTCCGCGTCCACTTCCGGCCGGTGAAGGAGGTATTCAATCTAATATCGCACATCAAGGCGAGCAGGACGAGAACAATCAGTCAGCTCTCCACCGTGATGAAAGGAGGATGGACGATTTGCCACCAAATGTTCGTCGAGTTGAGGATCACGAAGGATCGACTCACGTTGATCCGCGACATGAGCAGATCAGACAGAACGAAGCCATGACCTTCGATCCGCATCAGGAAAGGTTCAATCGAGAGGAAGTGATAGAGGTTGATCGCCGCTAAGTTATATCGCCTTGGCAAAGAAAGCTCATTGAGGAACGGTCATTCGATCCGTCTTACCGGCTCTCTATGGCTACACTCATTCATCGCGGTTCGGAGAGCAGATCTGTAGCTCATAGAGCTACCGCTGGGCTCCAGAGAGAGAATGAAGCACTCCGATCCGCGGCTCGGACAGTTGATTCACCATTTACTGATGAGATCCTGAATGCTCCGCATCCAAGGAAGTTTGCCATGCCAGTCTTTATTCTGTTTGACGGAACAACCGATCCGATCGATCATGTGTACCATATCCAGTTGAAGATGGCTCTGAATACGGAGAACGACTGTTTAATGTGCAAATGTTTCCCTACAAGTCTAGCCGGACCGGCGCTTAGCTGGTTCAAAAACTTGCCTAGGGGCTCGATTGATAGCTTCCGGAACCTGTGCGATCGGTTCATAAGCCAGTACTATGGGAACAAGCGTCCGCCGAAGGACATCTCAAGCCTATTCACAATGAAACAGCACAAAGATAAACGTCTCCAGGCTTTTCTCACCAGGTTTAACCTCACTAAGAGTATGGTGATTGAATGCCACCCTTCTACAGCGGTTCAAGCCTTCAAGTTGGCCATGACACGTGGCACTCCGTTCCATACCAGTCTGGTAGTGAACACGCCGACGACTATGGATGAACTCAATGAAAGAGTCGATGGCTTTGTGCGCCTGGAAGAAGAGGAGGCAGCCAATGCTCGGACAGAATTGGTCGTGTCGACCGAGGAAAAGTCCAAGGCAAAGATCAGGCAGAAGCAGGCTCAGCCACAACATCAGACCTCCTGGAAGGCAGAAAAGAGGTCCAGGGAGGAAGAGCTAATCACTCCGTTGAAGGTCACTCTGGCGAGGCTATATCAGGAGAACAAAGATAAGTTTCATCCACCACTGCCAATTAGGCAACCCCTCGAATAGAGGGATCAAACTAAACATTGTGATTTCCATTCCGATTTCAGTCATCAGACTAACGAATGCAGGAATTTGAGAAGGCAAGTGGAGATGTTGATAGCTAGAGGGGAGTTCGCGAGTTATGTCCAAGGCTCGGCGATAGAGCAGAACCGACGGATGGAGCAAGTAAAAAGAAGTCAGAAGCAAAGCTCCCACAATTCACAGCCAGTTCGTATAATCAATGCTATTTACGGTCGACCCGAGCCTAGCGAAGACTCGGATGAGCTACTCCGAACGCGCCTACGGCAGGCGCAGATGAAGAAAAGGGTCAGCAGTGTGAATACTCTGCACTAACAAATCACATCGATACAGATAAAGTTCGACAGGACAGACCTGCTGCGTGTTCAAATCCCCCATGAAGATCCGTTGGTAGTCAGCTTGACAGTGGCGAACTGCCTGGTGCGCAGAGTTCTGATCGATCCCGGAAGTAGTGCGAATGTCATGCCAAGGGACATATTTGATCGGCTCGAGATTAAGCCAGAGAGGCTCAAGCTCACTGGAAATCCCCTGTTAGGATTTGATGGTAAGAGGGTGGAGCCCATCGGTATGGTGGAAGTAGAAGTTCAAGCTGCAGAACGAGCTCTTATTGAAACTTTTATGGTTGTGAAGATTTACCCCTCGTACAATCTCCTGATGGGAAGAGGATGGATTCACAGAGTCCAAGGTGTGCCCTCAACTCTGCATCAGGTCATGAGGTGCCTCGGACCCGATGGAAATAAGGTGATAGACATTCATGGGGATCAGGTTGCAGCCAAAGAGTGTTATTCCGTCACACTAAAATATGCTGGGAAAGGGAAGGCGCACATCCGTTCGGCGAGCCCAAGATAGCAATTACAGGAACCTCCACCCAAGCAGAATAGGGTGGAGGAGCCAGTTGACTTGACCGAAGAGCCCCTTCTGGATGTGCAGATCGATCAGTCCAAGCTAAAGCAAACTACCAGAGTAGGAGTAAGACTGACCAGGGAAGAGCAGCAGGAGCTAATTGACTTCTTGTCTCACAATGCCGATGTATTTGCATGGAGTCACCTAGACATGCCTGGAATTAATCCCTCCGTATCCTGTCATTCCTTGAATGTCAATCCCAATTTCAAACCAGTAAAGCAGAAGCAACGAAGGTTTGCTCCAGAACATAACCAGATCATAGCCGAGGAGGTTGATGGGTTGCTCGATGCGGGATTCATCAGAGAAGTGCACTATCCTGATTGGTTGTCCAACGTCGTTGTCATGTAGAAGAAGAATGGGAAATGGCGAGTATGCATTGATTTCACCAATTTGAACAAAGCCTGTCCGAAGGATAGCTTCCCACTGCCTAAGATCAAATGGTGGATGCCACCACCGGGTATGAGCGTTTAACCTTTCTGGACGCTTATTCAGGTTATAATCAGATCCCTATGGACCCGGCAGATGAAGAAAAAACTTCTTTTGTTACCGAGCGAGGGACATACTATTACAAAGTTATGCATTTCGGACTGAAAAACGCGAGAGCAACTTATCAAAGGCTTGTTAGCAAAATTTTCAAGGATCAAATAGGAAAGATTGTGGAAGCCTATATTGATGATATGGTGGTAAAGAGTAGGAAGAAGGATGATCATCTGAAACATCTGCAAGATGTATTTGATGTGCTGAGGCGATATGGGATTAGGCTCAATCCAACCAAGTGCTCGTTCGGTGTGAGATCCGGTCAATTTTTGGGACACGTGGTCAATCGCAGAGGCATCGAAGCTAGCCCTGCTCAAGCAGAGGCTTTGATTAAGAATGCCGAGCCAAAGACGATCAAAGAAGTGCAAGCCCTCACAGGACGAATAGCTGCATTAAGTCGATTCATTTCTAAGTTGTCAGACCGCTACAAGCCGTTCTTTGACACGATCCGGAGTCATGGAAGACAGCTCTGGGGGGATGAACAACGACAAGCATTAACCCATTTGAAGGAATATATGCAGAATCCACCAGTCCTGTCAGCCCCAGATCCAGAAGAGAAATTATATCTATATCTCGGAGTATCTAATGTTACGACAAGTGCCGTTCTGATTCGTTGCAAGGAAGGGGTGCAACACCCGGTGTTTTATGTCAGTAAGACAATGACCGAAGCAGAACGAAGGTACTCGAAGGCCGAACGGGTGATACTTTCACTCGTAAACGCAAAAAGAAAGTTGAGGCATTATTTCGAATCCCACCCTATAGCTGTCCTAACAACTTTTCCAATCAGAGTGCTTATGCACAAGCCAGAACTCTCGGGCAGAATGACAAAATGG